GAGCTTTGCCACCTGGTACTGCAAAGGGCAGGTGAGATCAGTCATAGCTACTGGATCCCGTGGCTTGACTGGTATTATCAGTGATCACAGCTTTGTGGACCAAGTGTGCTTCCTGCCAGAACCTCACTGAGAAGCTGCTTCTGTCCTTCTCTCACACCCGGATATTCACCAGCTTTCTCTGCCTCATCCACAAAGTAAGCAAGAATCCTGCCACAGCTTAACTCCTATGTCGCTCAAGGTCAGCTTCCCCTAAGGAATAAAACCTTAATTCAATAAATAATGAAATCATAATTAAGACCCAACCAAAAACAAACAGCATGAAGAGCAGTGCCCAAGTTGGTGGCTGCTCCACAAGGCCACATGATGCCCAACAGCAAGGGCCAAACCCCAACTTGCACAAAGGTTGTCACAAAAGCTGCAGCTCCCTTCCTCTTGCCCAACCCAGCCTCCTTATCTTCCACTTCACACTCCTTGCTCAGTGGGAGCCTCCGTCCCTTGCATGCAGAGATGGCTGATGGAGCAGTGATAGGATAGAGCAGCAGTCCTGCACTCTGCAGAGAGCTCCAACATCAGAGCAGGCACAAACAGCAGCAGAATTTGTTTATTCAAACCATCCTTTATTTTCTCTCTCCAGTAAGGCCCATCACCCATTGCATACTCATCCCACATCCCTCTGCCTCCTTGCTTTCCTCCCATATCTTCACCACCAGGCAACCCACCACTTGTTACAAGTTTTGATATACAAACATTTCCCCTTTTTTTTGTTTAATATTCTTCCTTCTTTCCCTGTGCTACCTATCCAGCAGCCTGTACCTCCCCCAAGGTGCATGCAGCAGCAAGGCAAGTAGCATCACCCTTCAGACAAGGTTTAGGAGACAAGGTTTGCAGACACTGATTTAAGCCATACCGTTAAACTTCCCTGACAGAATGGCTCCTGACTTCCAGCAAATTAATTACTCTGTAACCTACACCTCAGCTTACTCCTGGCACACAGAAAATCCGTAAGAACTCTCTCCCAGCATTGTTGCAGGATAATTACTTTGCCATGTGTAATGCTGTCCTCTAGTGAAGAGCTGTGACACTGCACCTCAGCAATGAACTCGCAGCTCTGCAAATGCCAGCCCATCCCACTGCTCCTGTGGCTGCTCTGCCCTCAGAGCGCTGGCAATCCCGAAAGGATTAACGATACCATTAAGACCACAAAGCCAATATTTTCTCACCACCCTGGAGAGCAGAACTGCTGAGTGTGTGTACAGGGCATATGTTGTGTCCCACTTCGAGCCGAAACCACAAGGCCAAGGATTCCTGACAGCTCTCAGCATGACTCTTCAGCTTGATCTGCAAAAGTCAGAGGGCAGTGGACTATGGCACAGAGAAGTGGCCACAGATGCCACAAAACCATAAAAGCAGTGAGGTCTTGTGCAAAAAACCCCCAAATAACTATCTGTCCAACCACCAAGACATGGTTAGGCCTATAATTTACTGCTCACTGGGCAGAGTGTGTTGTGCTCACGGCGCTGATGGATTTCAGTGTATTCCCAAACAGCACAGTGAGTGCTGCAAGCAGGATCACACCATATTTAAACATCCCACACATTCCTGCAGTGCCAGGTCACTGCTGCCCAGGGCTGGCTGAACCGTGCCATTCCTGACTGCTGGGAAAAGAACAAGACTTTCCAAGACAGATCATTAACAGGAAAGGAAGAGCATGAGGAGCAGCAGCACACAGACAACATGCCCATCTCACAGTAGACTTCAGCAGCAGAGTAGCAAGAGCAAGAAAGCAACTTGTACCACACCTGGAGGTGGATGCAGCCAGTTCCCCCTGTATCCACCTCCAGTACCAAGGAAATCTCCACTGTACAGGAAATCAGGATACTGGAGAGGAAACCCCATTCTGCTCTTAAGCTCATCAGCATTTCCTTCCCACTCCACCAGCCCAACTTACTCCAACTGTTTGCCTGCTCAGTTCATGAAACTGAACAGGTGTCAGCCATGGTCCTCCCACAAACTTAATTTCTCCACATGCTAGCCCAAAGCTCTCATTTCTGTAATATCCAGCCTCAACCCACAGCATTCTCCTCCTCCCTGCAAAGGCTCAGAGATGTCTCGGGCATCCCATCCAGTATTCTGCTACTCTCAGCAGCAGGGTCTGCATGGAGAGAATCTGTCTCAAGCCAGTAATCTTCCCTTAATTAAGTCTTCCCTGTCCTGCAGCACTGGGATGCTATTCACTGACTGTGATCATGGGAAATCAATAACACAGGTTCATTTAGCTACATCCTTCTGGGGCCCTTGGAGAGCAAGCAAACATCCCACTGGAACAGGTACCAGCAGAATTCAAGCTTTCTAATGGACCAAGAAGCTTATAAAGGACAGGAGCCTGCAGAGCAATTTTTGGAGTGGTGGGAGGAAGGCTGCTCAGGGGCTCTGCAGCTCTCCTTTCTTGGCAGGAGTGCCTGAGTGCATCACATACCCCTGACTGTCTCCAGCAAGTGATCTCTTTTGTGTTCTTTAGCAAGAATCCTAGAAAGGGATAACTTGCAAGCTCTGTCTAGTATCAGACAGTCACTGACTTTACGAGACTCCAGAGCTCCAGTTTTGCACCACAGGAGTCCACTCAGAGCACAGCTTGGTGTTTTTGCTAAAACCCCAAGGACAAAGCAAACCCCATTACTGCAGCTCCTTTAGGGGTGGTTGTTAGCAAGGAGTTCCGTTGAGGAAAGAAAGCACAGACCTGCTCACAGCTGCCTGGAGAGAAGCTCACACCCGGTTATTTGTCCACAACAAAATGAAAAGCTTTCACCTGACTTTGGCAAAAGCCAAGACATTTACATTTAACGAACACAAGCCTTGGTCTTACTCAAAGCCATAAGAGCAGAGGGTTGGCAGAGAGAAGAGAGCCTTAAGAATACCAAATTTCTTGACTAATACCACAGAATTGTATGCTTTAGGAAGGGCAGTCTGTTGGGCTGAAGGCAGAACATTGCAAGCCCATCACACTCAATACATTTGCTGGGAATGTTCCAACAATTCCCCTGCATGTCTGGCCTTATCAAGTTCCTAAATAGGGAAAGGTGAACACATGTTTTGACAATGAACAGATACTTCTATCATATTGCTAATGGTATTGGTTGATATGCATGGATACAAATATAACTTTTAGTGGGAAGGTTCATCTAGAGGTCAGCTTTGGCTCAGGGCCTGTTGTTCAGGCCTCAGTGCTTCAACCTGACAAGCACCAGGCAAGAACTGTCAAGACTTCACAAAGCCCCAGAGGCATTCCATGTACATGTCAATCCTCTGCCTCTTAACTGGAATTAAGCAAGAGCATAGGGAAGGGACTTGTGGGAGGTAGTAGCTCATCATCATTTCACCTGCTGAATAAAAAGGGAGAAAGAGCTGGAGCAAACCCATCATCGAGGAAAAACACATTGAAAAATTACTAGAAAACCTATTTTGTAGAAATTGTTATAAATTCATGTGTACAATTAAACTTAAGCATACACAGCTCAAGCAATACTGTACATATAACCTCTAAAACGCCACAGAAGAGGCAATTCCATAACCTAGGAAAGCTTTCCCAGCTGCGAACCATCAGCTAATTCTGTTTAGGTGTGAGACATTTGACTTTAAGGAGAACACAGGTGTAACCAATACAATCAAGTGTAACCCATCAGCACAAGAGAAGCCCAGGGCACCGAGAGAAATCCCAAAACTGCCTAACAAACGCTTCCCAGACATGCAGAAAGATTTAATGAACATTAATACTCCAAGAGGCCACAGCATTTAGTTTAAAATCTTTTGGGTTGGAAAGGACCTTGAAAAATCATCTATTCCACCTCCCTGGCCCCAACAGGCAAGTTTTGTCCCCAAAACTGCTTTGCTCACAGCCCCTCCTAGATGCTCATTTTGCTGCTGGTCTCTGGGAGCTCCCTGCCCTGCCCACTCAGTGCACACAGACTCCCATGGCAATGCCTCCCCTCCACATACAGACAGCAGACCTGCAGCTTTAGTCAACACAATCCTCCCTTTCCAACAATTACCATTATTTTGCAGCTACTCCATTTATTCCAAAACATCTTCTTGGGGAAGCCTCTTTGGGTAATAGGCAGTTCTCCAGTTGCTGTAGCCTTCCTGCAGAACTACAAGTCCTGGTTTATAAGAGGTTTCTGCTGCAACCACTACACCTGATTGACCTCAGATTGAAGGGAGGGAGAAAGTGATTGCAGAGGGCATGACTACATCATTCCTAAAAGTAATTTTCTTGCACCATAAAGAAAACAAGGCTAATTTATAGCCCAAATCAGCATTTTAGTTGCCTTTTGAATAAGACAATAGAACAATTTTGTAAGGAACTAACACCTGTGGAGTAAGGTGAAGCCATACCTTAAGAGGACTTAGACTGTATCAATAATGGGCTTGGGAAGAACCCAGTTTGGACAAACCTAAGGCAATCTTGCCCTCTAAAAATTGCTGCTTGGCTCGGGCACCCTTGCAGCCTCACAGAGGTGCAGGCAGCACATACCGGCATAAGGGAAACACCAAGCAGTAACTCCGTCGGGAAGCCAAGATAGAGAGGACACTCCTGACCCGCTCCAGCGCTGGGGATGTTCCAGGAGACCGTGCCAAAAGCCTTCCTGCGGCTCGGCGGGTGCTGCCCATGTCCCCGAGGCACCGCTCACCGGCCTCCCCCCACCCCACGAAAGGAAGGGGGGGGGCGGCGCCGGGGGGGCTCCTTTTAAAGGTGGCCCGGGCTCCTCCCTCCTCCCCTCCCATCTCCTCCCCTCCCCTGCCCTCCCTCCCCTGCTGTGGTTCCCACCCCTCGGGGCGGGCTTGCCCCCTACGCTCCGCCCCTCGCCCCCGGCGGGGCAGCGCGGGCAGCGGCACCGGCGGCAGCGCGGGCGGTACCGGCATGTCCTGAGCGGCGGCGGCGGCCGATCCGGGCCGGAGCCAGCACGGAGGGCTCGGTGGAGCAGCGGGCCAAGGGCCGGGCCCCCATGAAGGAGAAGGAGGCGGGCGCGGAGCGGGGCAAGCCCGCCACTTACACCGGGGACAAGAAGGCGCGCATGGCGGCCAAGACCAACAAGAAGTGGGTGCGCCTGGCCACCGTGCTGGCCTACGTGCTCTCCGTCTCGCTGGCCGCCATCGTGCTCGCCGTCTACTACAGCCTCATCTGGCAGCCGGTGCGCGGCAGCGGCGGCTCCTCCAGCCCCGGCCCCGGCGCCGCCGCCACCCCCGCGCAGCTCCGCGCCGCGCCCGCCGGACCCACGGCGGGGCCTCCGCCCGCGCCGCCGCGCACCGGCCCCGGCCCCGGCCCCGGCGCCACCGCCCCGCCGGCCGCGTCCCCCTCGGCCGCGGCTGGGAGCGGGCCGGGCGCCGGCAGCCCCTGAGCCGGGCGGGCCGCGGAGGCCGCGCCGCCGGGGATGCGGCCCCGGGGCTCGGCCGAGGATGGAGACCGATGGCTCGCCCGTCCCTGCGGCACCGTGCAGCGCCCGTGGACACTGACCGGAGACTGACCTGGAGACTGACTCGGCCCCGTTTGGACTCGGTGGAACTGCGGTATCTTCTTTTCCCCCCGGTTTTTCCTCAAAAGGGAATTTTGTGGCTTCGTTTTCTTCCTCACCAGGGCTAGCTTCTCCCTTTGAACCCGCATTGAATTCCTGCGCTGTTAATGCCAGTCTGTTACCTATACAAGGATATCGGTGTCCAAAATTCCTCGCTATTTACAGGATCAGCTGGGAACAATACGAATTTAGAGGCTGTAATCCATTGTTGAAGTAAAAACAGTTTTGTTAAACGATGAGCATAAACTTATTTAAAATATGTGGAAGGTAAATTGACTTGTTTACTATATTAAAATATTTTCCCAATATGAAAGTCTCTGTAACAAAGTATGTTCTCTTCGGTGGTGGGAGGAGGAATGCTGAACTGGAACGGGTCTGAGTAGCAAAAATTTGGCCCCTGCAATGGACAGCTATGGTATATGATGTTGATTCATTTGTCATTGGTCTCTGTAGGTGAGGCTGGAGAAACCTCTGTACGTGGCTAATTGTGGAAACGAAGCAGTGGTGCTGGAAAGGTTGGATCTGTGCTGGCAGAGCAGGTGGAGTTGTGGCGGTGGGTGCAGGTGGGCTCTGAGCTGCAGGGCGGTTGTGCCCTCGTGCTGCTGCCTGCGAGGGATGGCAGCACTTACGGATCATCCCCGCACCTCTGGGGCATGTGGAACCAGGCTAGGTCTGGGCCAGGCAGTTCCTGGTGTGTCCTGGGAAGGCTGTCCTCCCGGCTCCCTGGTTTCCTGCCCTGTGGTCCTCAGAAATTTTCAATTCCTTGATGAGCAGGGTGAAAAAATGGCCTTTAATGACTCTGGGATGTGGGATATAAACCAGGAAACCGTAAGAGCCATGATGTTCCAAGCTGCTGCTTTCCAGATGGATGAATTCAGCTAAATCTGTAAGGCTGCCAGGCTGTGCTGTATCCCTATGAAAGAATCACAGCAGTTCAGATTCCTTCTGCTGAGGGATGCAAACGTGCTGTAACGTGTGGCGTACGTATTTCAGTTGTGCAGATCACAAAGGTACCATAAAAGCACTTGGTGCTTGAAAAGAGCTCTTTCATATCAAAATTGGAGTTTGATATGTGAGTTTGATACGAGTTTGTGGTGGTTTGTTAAGGCTGCATCATCAACTGGGCATTGCATTTACGGCATCTGTGACAGGTAGAACCAGGAGCAGAGGGCTTGTAGGGAGAAATGAAGTGAGAGTGGTTTGTGATCTTCTTTTCACCCTCCTTTCCAGTTTTGTGGGGAGCATGCAGGGAAGGCTTTGTGTTGTTGGAACAAAAAGCTGGTGGGAAGGACAAAATGATCCCGCTTAGTCACTTTAGCCAAAATCACGGGATCTCTGCCACCCTCCTGCGGGGCAGGTGGAAGAGCTGGAAGCACTGTCAGCAGATGGGTGCCCTGCAGCTGTCACCACCAGCTCTGCTCTCCCTGTTCATCCGCGGGGGAAAGGCTGAGTGTCCTGGAGCAGCACCGGCTCTGGGCCCCACGGGTGTCTGTTCTGTGAGTGGGGGTTGTGTTCCTTTGTGTTCCTTTGTGTTGATCCCTCTCCGTGGAGCTGCTCACGCCCACGGCAGTTCCGGGTCTTGGTGACAGCAATGCCATTTGCTGGCTTGGGATACACCTCTGGCTGTGGGGGAAAGTTCCTGCAGCTCCCAGAGGGAGGAATGAGTGACTGAGAAACCAGGCTCATTGTGGTGCCAGTTGAGTTTAGTCTGCTCCTCGGCTTGGGTGCTAAATGCAGAACCAGTTGGGAAGTGTCTCTGAGAAGGAGCTTGTGTTTAACTTGCTAAACCTTTGGAGATAAATAAAGCTGCGTGCAATGACATGGATGCTGGGATTTCTCTGCTGCTAGCCTGCAGCTTGGAGCTGGTGACTCTGGCGGCTCCGAACAGTGCATCCAATGTGTGCTGAGTGGCCAGGGCCTCCTGGCATCCTTCACTTTAACTACAATTGCTCTCAGAAGACTAATAGAGCCTGGCTGCGTGGTGCAGAGGGGAGAGGAAGTGAATGGAATTAAATGGGCTGCATGGCCCTCTTCCAGCCTGTCGTGTAACTACTGAGAGATGCCTTGTACTTGGGAGCAGGAACAACCTGAAGCTCTTTACCTGGTTTGTGGTTTTGGTAGCAAAGGATCTCTGGGACAGAGACAGTGCTCAGATCCGCTGGATCAAAGGGAACAGGCCCTTCACTGATGGCTGCCTCCCCTTCTGGTGCTAAAAATAGTTGATGAGCCAGTACGAGGATGGTTGTGGCTGTCTGCATTCCTGTAGGAAAGTGCAGGCTTGGTGAGTTCCCAGACTGTGTTTTTGCATCTTCTTCTCTGCTGACAAACAGATTTCAGTGAAATGCTGCTATTTCTGTACCTATTACAACTGGCTTTGGAGCACCCTGGGGCTTCACTCCCGTTGTACTCAGTGTGCGAGGGAGGGGAAGCTGCCTGGGGAAGATGCAGAAAGGTTGTGGGCTGCCAGCCTAATGGCTAGGGAGTTTTGGTGATTTCAGCAGCTCGGTTTTCCAAATCTTCTGGACCCATATTCTTCAGCTACAATCTTTTCCCCATACTTTTCCTAGCCAGGAATCATAGCCCTCTGGAGGTAGATGTGTTCCCGTTGGGATGCTGTTGCCAGCCTGTGATGAGCTCGTTGCTGTGCTTCTTACTCTCATCATGACAGACTGTCGAAGAAATCAGTGACTAAATGTACTTTGCAAATACTCTAGTAACAAAAATGGCTCATCTGGACTGGTTTCTAGGTGCAAGTTAACTTAAAATTCAGGGCACTAGGGATTTCTTGGGAAGTAGATTGGCTGCCACAGATACTTGGACTGGGAATTTTTGCATTATGTTGTCATCGTTTTACTGAGACAGTCATCTGCATCTCCACAGAATTGTTTAGTGCCCTAAAATGGTGCAGTCACCAGTCTGGGGTAAAGCTGTATTTTAAAAGGCAGATGGTTGTGTCGTCTGTTGTGTTACTTCAGCTCCAGTTCACCCTTTCCCTTCATTGCTCCTCAAAAAAATAATAAAATTCAGGTTCACTTAGTGTGATTGTATCAGGCAAGACAAGGCACAGGGTTGTATGTTGCTTCCTCGGTAGAAATTACTGTAACCTTGTGATTCAAGATGTTGATTCCTTGGAATTGCTGGGGAGGGTTACCCCCTTCACAGAATTGCTGTCCTGTGTATCACCTGCCATCAGAGCTGTGCCATATTCCCAGTGTGTGCACGTTGGTGAGGAAGGGAGCTGTCTGGAAGTCAGCTGGATGAAGGAGATACTCAAATGTGAGTGAAGTACCTTAAAACCTTTTGCTTTTGTGATAGACATCTAATATCTGCCTGTGCACACTGCTCTTGTCCCAATGAGCCCAGTTTGAGCAAGGAGAGCACTTAGTGTAACTCACGTGCAGAGGGACCAGAAGGAAGGGAAATAGCAAGAAAAAGAGTTACTGGAGCATGTAATCTGCTCCAGCAGCTGGCTCACGTTTCCATCTCTAAAAGCTCTCTTTTCCCCGTGCTCGTTCTCTCGTGGGCTCATCTGATGCAATGCACGTCATCTTAATCCCAGATTCCTGTGCAGTATTTCTGACAAGGAATCTTGGCTTAATCCCTGAGTGTAGCTGAAAAGCACTGGTGTGGTGTAGTGATGGTGACAAAATCAGTGGCTGCTTCTGGGCATCGGCGATTTCCCTCAGAGAAGTCAAAGCTGATCTTGGTGGGTTGCTCAGGGGGTGTTACCAATGGCCGGCTCTGAGTCCTGGAGCTGCTGGAGCACACAGAGCAGGGAATGGCATAAGAAAGTCATAGCCGAGCTGGAGCATGAAGCTAAGGACATGAAGCTTGGCTTGTGGCTGTTCCACAGGTGTTCACAGGCAGTTTTGGGAAAGCTGGCCAGGTGCTGTGTCACTGCACTGGGCTGGTGTGAGCAGGAATCTGCCACGGACTTCCCAGTGCTGCCTTGCCAGTGCTGCAGAGCCTGTTGTTGCTGTACAACCTTTCCAGGGAAAGCAGCAGGCAGTGTCCTGAACTTCCCAGCAGTGCTGTACCCTGCTGCTGCTCTGGGTCTTTCATTGACTCAAAAAGCACTAATTACTGTATTATGCACTTAAAATACAAAATTGATGGCTAAGTGCCTGTGCCCTCTGCCACTTGCAACCAGTTTATCTGGAGGGAGATTGTTGTGGAAAACCAGTGAAATTTTCTGTTATTTTTATATCTAGAGACTCTGTATTGGGCTTTACTGGTTAGTTGCCTCTGTGTATGCTCCTGCTGCAGGTATTGGTCTTGTTGAGGTAGGAATGGAGAGCTACACTGCTGTCGGGATTTTGTATTATTGCCTGCTTCAGTAATTGCTTTGGAAACAAGTATCTCCAACTTTATCCAAATGTATTTTTGTCATTGGCTTGAAGGTTTTTTAAATTAACTTCTTTATGCAAGAGCTGACTCACTAGTCTGTGATCAATTCTGATAGTTTTAGCTACAGAGTTGCTACGTTGAAATTGATTTGTAAATTTTTAAGGAAAAGAAGAGTGTCTAGTGGCCAGCTGATCCTTTGGTTTGAAGGAAAAAGCATTCTGACTGGGAGTGTTGCTGCTTCCCTTGTGTCTGGAAAAGCTGGAACAACTTCCACCAAATCCCTGAGCTACCAGCCACTGCTGGGAAGGAATGGGTCCTGTGCAGGCAGGCGACTCTGAACTCTGTGAGCTGCCTTTCCATTTGCTTGCAAGAAAAGTGCAGTGGTGATGAAGTGGTGGCTCTGATCCCTCAATGAAAAAGTGATCTTCATCTTCCTGGCATTGCTGCAGAGAGCTTTTGTGGTGAGGAAGCTGAGCCAGCCCAGGAGTTTAGTGCTTCCCAAAGGTATCAGTGCTGTGAACTGGAGCTGTTGCTCTAAATAGCAGAGATTACTGATTCAGTTTGGAAATCTCTACATGTGGAACTGAGAAACAGTAAGAAACAGGAGGTTTTTCCTCATTCCAACTTTTATTTCATATAAATAATCCCTCTACATCAGATTTGTCAACTTTTCAGTTTTTTCTCTCACCATAAAGAAGAAACAGCTAAGCCACAGTTGTCTGAAAAATCACAACCCAGGCACCAAACAAAGTGCATTGAGCAAAGTGTTAATGAGCAGGAAAAAATACACTTAGAACAGGCACAACCTGTCCAGTCCCATCCCTGGAGCCTGGAACAGACTCAGTCCTTCCTGGGCATTGTTACCTGCAAAGTCACTTGGAAGAAAGGAAAAAAAGGAGGGAATGGAGGACCAGTGATGGCTTTCTTTTCAGAATGGAGTCTAGGGCAGTAAGGTTCTTTTATCTCTTCAACACATTACTGGACCAGGGCAATGTAAAATTCCTGCCTGGCCATGTGTCCAACTGCTCCTGGGGCACAACAGCTCTGTGTGTTCCATTAATCATGAGGCAAGCTGGCTCCTGGGAAATGCTGGTAATGACTCAGTCTGACTGGACCAAGAGTCAGGCCAGAGACCTGATGGACAAAATAATAAATTAAAAAACTAAACAATTGCAAGCAGGTTTTTGAGCCAGTCAGATAAAGAAAATCAACCTTTAACAGTGATGGAGAAGCTCCAGGACCTGAAGCAGTTTTACAATCTTCTATTTATCTGTTCTTTTATCTTTTGGGTAAGTCCAAATAAACCCAGTCTGGGCTTTGGTGGGGTGGAGATGTTTCTACTGATAAAACACAAAAGCTGCACGCTCTGTTTCTTGATAATACCTGGTGTGATGCCAGTAAAGTCTCCTGAATTTGGCACAGGGAGGAAATTTCCAGGCTTGTGCTTCATGATAGGTGTCACGGGTCTAAGTCACGTGGAAAAACAAATGTTTGTCTGTGCAAATATTAGTTTATTAAAGCAGCATAGAGTATTTCAGTCCACACGTGCCAACCTGATCTCCAGGGCAGTCTGCCAGCCTGGTCAGCCAACATCCTGCAGGACATTCCAGGCAGACTCCACACATACCTGTCCCAGGGATGCTTACTCTGGCATCAAATTTTAGAGCAGCACTTTGAAGTGAGGGTGATGCCCGCTCTGCCCTGTCATTCAGAAGTCAGAAATTATGTTGTGTTATTCCTTGTGCCTTCTCCTTAACTGGTAGCTGTATTCCAGCTGGGTCCTAGCTTGCTGTAACTGGAAAGCCAAGCAGCTGGAATTCCTGCATGTTTGTGCTTGTAAAGCTCCTCCAGATCCTCCATTTGAAAGGTATCTTTAAGGCCAGGTCAGAAGGTCTGCAGGGCAGCTTAGAGAGGATTCCTGCTCTCTTATTCAAACACAAGGCTATGGAAGGCACAACCAGGAAGGTGAAAATGTTTGATATGAAGTCTTGGACATCCAGCTCTAGTTTGGCCTGGGTTCTGCTGCCAACTGCTTTGGGCAATGTGGTGGAGGAGGAAGATTATTGTGCTGTCCCCCTCCTTGCTGTGCTGCAGGGATGCTCAGTTACCCTTGGGAAGGGGACATGGAGTTTGCTGAGTTATGCACACACGTGGTCACCCGAGCAGCCACCTTCCTTGGCACAAAGCACTATCCTGATGTTCTCCTCAGCCTCTAAAAGGGGAGGAGAGCTGGAGGCTCTTCAAGGGGGAGGTGCTGGGGTTGATCTGTGCTTGTCAGAAGCGCTCCATCCATCCATCCATCCATCCATCCATCCATCCATCCATCCATCCATCCATCCATTCATTCCATCGTGCTTATGCCCCGCAGCCCCTGCCACTACCATACACCTCTGCCAACACTTCAACCACGTGCAAACCTCAAGTACAAGAGCTCTGAACACAACTTCTTCACCCACCTACTAAACTACACCCTAACACCTCACCCCTCTGCTTTGCCAGTCACCTCTTCTTTCTGTTCCAGTTGCTGGCACAGCCCCTGGCATGTGCCTCCAGCCTTTGGGGAAAAGACGGGGTGTGTGCCCAGAAACCCAAGCCATAAGTTTAAAATGAATTAGTCATTAAATAAAATAAAGTGCATCCAGTAGACATTTCCTTGGCTTGCCACGCAGCTGCAATATATGCCAAACAAATAGATAAGTGATGGTGTTTTCTCTGTAGGGTGGGAGTGTGTGCACCCTTCCCTGTCCTTTGACACACGGATAGGGAAGGGGGATGCCAGAATGTGGGTGGGGGTGGTGATGGGGGCCCCACGTGTTGTGAATGGTGCTGAAGGGCACTGGGCAGGTGCTGAAAGCTGATTTCATAGAAGGTAAGAGAGTGAGGACAAGCTTGTGCTCCTCTTCTCCACCGCCTCCAGCACGTTATCCTGCGAAACAAGAGCAGAGACAGCCGCGGGATTATCAGTCTCCAGGGAACTGCTGAGCTGTAAATTAAAATGTCTGCTGAGTTCCACCCTGCCCCTCCTGCGCGGCTGGGGCTGCTTGGGAGGCACCACTGAGGCATAACCCAGATACCTGCTGCCAAATCTGACAGGAGCACGGGGGGCTCTGCAGCCCAGGGGATGAGCTGACTCCACCAGTCTGGATTAAACACTCTCAGTCCTCCTCTGGGATGGATACATCAACTTCACTCTTTCCTTATATCTCAGGAACAACAATCCTGACGTGTTCTTGTGTGTGCTGGTTTAGCACCAGGAGCACCAAGGGAAGAGGCTGATTTCATGTAGGGCTTTATGATCTATCTTTCCTAGTGAACCTGGCCTGGGTGTGCAGCACTTGTGAACCCCAAAGGCAGAGCTTTTCCTAATGAAAAACCATCCTATGAGTGGAGCCTTCTGTTCCAGAGCTGCTTCCAGCCCCAGACATGCTGATTTTAATTGGGAAAGGCAGACTTTTTATTCTTTTCTAGTTGCCAGATGCTTGGGTGCTGCTCAGAATTGCTGAGCTGGCATTTCCCTGCATCCATGTTTAAATCCGTAGATTTGCCTTTTGCTGATGCAGATTTCAGCACCCAAAGCTCCCAAGAAAGGTCAGGGAAGGGGATATTAAAAAAAGATGAAATTCTGAAAAGGCAGGAGAGGCCACAGGAAGCGTGGCTTGCATAAGAAATTTCTCAAGGAATCATCTAAAGACACAGATATTTAATAAGGAACTGCACTGAAATCAGACCCGAGGTGCTGGCACAACTGCTGCTGTGTACAGCTGAGATGAGATTGTTGTTGGAGATTTAATTTCTTCTGTCTGTGTGCAGCAGTGAGGGCTGGCTGCGTGCTGCTGCCAAGGGCTGCTCAGTGCTGTGGCAGCACACTGGGATTTAATGGGACTGGGAAGGGCCAGAAGCAGACTGTCAGTCACACTTGGTGGTCCAGATATTGTAAAGTAATCTGGTTTATGAGTCTGAGCTGACTCCAGCACGAGTTCTCCCTATTGTGGATCTATTTGATCACTGATGCTTTCAGAAGGCTCTGACTGTGTTTCAGTGCTGGGAGACAATTCCCTTTCCTGCTTTGCAGTATTATCCTTTCAATAGACACCTTCCTCCCATGCATGAGTGAGTCTTTACAGCCAAGACACTGGTGGGCTTTAAAGTCATTACTTCTCTTGGTAATTAGCCAGAGTGATTAGCCTTTCTCACACTTCCCACTGTATCCTCTTTCCCATATGTAATTCCAGGGCCAGTGGAGCAGCTGTGGGCTGGCTGTGAGCTGGGGCTCAGGGCAGCAATGTCCCCATGTGCTCCCTGGGCTCTGCCAGCAGAGTGGGAATTCTGTGGTGGCAGAATTCCCTGTGTGTGTCAGTGTCACAGGAGAGGACTGTCGCAGATCACTGCTCTCTGTCTCACACCTCCCAGACTGGCTGGCTGGGGGATGTCACTGGATGGCCTTCACAGCCAAGCCAACAGCAGGTCCGTGTGGGACCTACTGGCAGGCCCCACGGGATGGGAGGATGTGCAGAACTCCCTGAAGCTGCAGCTGAACATAGCTGATGGAGGTCTGGGATTGCAGGAACAACTATGGGATAGATACAAGAGGAGCTGCATTCCCAGTGTTTGGAATGGCAACAGCTCACCCATCAAAGCCCTGAGTTATGTTTAGATGTGTTAAGCTCCAGTAAGTGGTCCTCAGGATTCAGACATGGCCAGCTTCCAAGTAGTCTGACAGGTAGCCACCTTTTCCTAATTTTCCCATATTTATTCCTGGGCTTCTTCAATACGATGGTTCCTGTTCCAGCTTGGATGTTTCTTCCTCTTTGCTGGTGTTCACTATCCACATATCTGCAGAGATCACAATTCCACTGCTTTCTGCCTTCATTTTTCTCGACTAAACAACATTCCTTCAACAGCCCTGGAGCCTTCCCTGTGTGTCCTTAGTCTCTTGCACCATTCTCACAGAATCCCTGTGTTTTCCAATGTTAACACTGTCCTCTCATGTTGTGCCATCACTCCAGGGATATGGAGACAACTATGTCAAGTCCCACTCCCTGACTCTGAGTAAAAACTAAGCTCTCCACTTAGGTGGTACTCAGAGATGCTCTGGGAATTTAAAATGCCCATGGCATGATGGGCTCCAGAGGGTGGCGTGGGCTGCAGGAAGGACCAGGGAAGCCAATGCCATTCCAGGCAAGCCCTTGACCCTGCCAATCCCAAGCCAACTCCCCGAACGTACCAGCAGATGGTATCTTCCTGTCTCCTGAACCTCGAGGAAGCTGGTTGCTCTTCCGAAGATCCACGGCTGTTTTGGGAAGTGCTGGTTTCTGCTTGTGCTGTTTCCTGCACCAACCTTGGGCACTGGTTTGCATCAGAGCCGACCTCTGCTGACCTCCTCCGTCCTGCAGCACTCAGGCCCTGCCTGCCCCACTCCTGTTTACGTCAGCCAGTGCTGCAAGGTCAGATCCCTGGAGCTGCTCTGGAAATCTACCCCCAGCTGCATTTTCTCTAAAGATGTTAAGATTAATTTTCTCAAGAGAATTCAGGGAAAAGCTTCTGTGGTTTTTGTGTATCGTTTACTTCTCTGGGACTTGTTGGACATTCTCCAGGGATTCCAGTCCTGCACTTCGAGTAAATATTTATTCCTTGTTATTTGAAGCAAAGGATGAAAGCCCAACCACACTCTCTGCACAGCATCTCCCACTGATTTGAAGGTGCTGGAGATTTTTAGTGCCATAAATAGACACTGGGAGGGGGAGTTGTGAAACCCACGTGGTGACTGCACAGGACTGCAGTTGTGCAGGAAGGGATGTGAGATCTGCATTTAATGTGAGTGGGACACGGGCCCCACGAGCAAGGCAGGGGAGCAGCACATCATTATCACTGAGTACAGATGTTTCCAGCTGTTACAGATACCTGCTGAGCTCTTAAGTGGACTCAGGGCCTTATTACCAAACCATGGGAATCTCCATCCCTGACATGAAAATGGACTACTTTAATTTATTGTTTCCTCTTAGTTGGTGTCTAATTAAAGTTATCCTGAGTGAGCAAAGTAGTCATTAATTCCTTCATCCTCTAATTTGGTGGGAATTTTGGTAGATTGGGTAGGCGTGGCTGGACAGTAATCTCCCACTAAGTCCATCCAGGTGTTTCATAACATTCTCCTAAATGCTGTTGGAATTAATTTCCCTCACTTGAAGGAATTTTAGTTCAAACATAGAACCAGCTCCTGCTGGTTCTTGATGTTTTGTCTTTTTGAAATCACTATGACGCTTGCACTTCTCCCTGCCTTTTATATGGATTGGATTATAGGGAAAGTCTTTGTTAGCAGCTTAGCCACTTCATCCCTAAGCTCATTTATACCTCTGGGAGGAATACTGAGCAGCACCGGGGGACACATTGCTGTGTAGGGTCTGCAGAAAAGCTGCTGGAATCCAGGAAAGGCACTTGGTGGGGGGATCTGCCTGCCTGGCTCTGAGCAGCTCATTGCCTCAAGTGCCTATGAATGGAACAGAGCCTGTTACTGTGAAGGAGAGAGGCAAGAGTATCCTGAGAGCTACTCCTATGTTAGGCAAACTGGATTGTGTTCTGAAAACGCTCATCTCTGTTTAGTGTGATGTCCTGCTCTGTGGGACACTGCCTGGAAAAAACAAACCTTGCAAAGAGCCCCTACCCTATCTCCTTTCCCCTTCCTCCTAATTTCTACCTTAACTTTGTGCTTGTCATCCTTTGTTCCTTCTCCTGGCTTTGCATTTGCCTTGATGGAAGAAAATTGTTTGTGTAAAACACTGCTCCATAACTGGCTCTGTTCTTCCTCCCTTCTGTTTGGTTCATGGGCCTTTGCACCAGGGGTCATCTTACCCTGTGTATTTATACACTGCCCAGCACGTTAGTGTTACCATCTGTAATTCAAAGTGTAGCACTTACAGACCTTACTGGGAAGAGAATCCCACATACAATCAACCCTCTCCCAAGCTCTGCCCACGGGACAGGCCCCTGTGGCTTTACAAGTGTTTTGGGGAAGGACCACACTGACCTCAAGTTGTGATCACCCCAGAGACAGAAATAAACTCATCCCATTGAGGTTATTCCTCCCATCCTTTCTAAGGTCATAGTTTCCCAGGAACAGATCAGTATGTGCCCTAACTAATGTGTGTCATCAACCAACTTCAGCAGCCCAGTTTTCTGTTTAAATTTTTCTGTCTGACTTTCCATTTCTTCCCCGCCCACTCCAGGACAGGCCTTTGGGATCTAGAGATTTAATTACCTTAGAGATCCACAGCACTGCTAATGAACATTTCTGAACAGTTATCTGCTATGATGCCATTGTACCACAGAAAATGGAGCTGTGGCCCTGTACTATGGCTGAGAGCAATAATGAGATGACTCACCTTATGTCTCAGGCAAGCCAGTGCAATCTGCTAGTTGTGAGTGTTTCCACTGTCCTTGTCCTTGCAGTCCTCAGGCTGGTCCCCTTCCTCAGACTGGGATTTTGCCGTGTCCTGCTCAGGCACAACAGTCTTGTCAGAGCTGGCTTTCCCTGGGGGTGAAGGCTCGTGGTGTTCAGTGCCTTCAGCATCTTCACTTCCTTTCAGTGCAAGTGCCTGTCCCTCAAGAGCAGTGGTTTGGGTCACTTCTTCCCCTCCTTTGCTCACCAGCTGTCCTTGATCTGCTTCCAGTCTGTCTCCTGCTGCTGTGTCGAGCTTTCCTCCATGGCTGTTGGAAGAGTTCTCAGAGGACTCCTGTTCCGAAGCTGGCTGCATCTCCAATCCAGCTCCATCTCCATTTGCTCCCACAGGCAGTGACAAGGTCTCCTCGCTGCCAGGCCTGCTGCCTTGCACAGTGCTCTGAAGGCTGCTCTGTGAAGCAGTGCTGTCAGTGCCCTCCTTCTCCTGGGAGATGTCAGCAGTGCCAGGCTTCCCATTGGCATCTTCCCCAACACTTTCCTTGCTTGGCTTGGGCCCTGGCTCTGAGTCCCTGGTGCTGGCCACAGACACCTCTGTGCTGCGGCCCCTCTCTCCCCTCTGCTCCTCCTTCTGGCCATTCTGGGCAGGCTGGACCTTCCCACTTCGCAGCCGCTGTGAGGAGGAGGCTCCGTGATCCTGGAGGCTTGGCTGTTTCCCCTTTTCCTCCAGCTCAGCTGTGCAGTTCTCTTCCACCCCCTCGTCACCTTTGCTCTTCCGCCTGTCTGCACCAAGGTTCCTCTGAGAAACAAAGGAAGTATTAATTTCAGCTGATTAAAATACCAGTATATTGTATTTCTTGTCTGGGATGGTTCTGAAAACCTGAGGGAAAAGGATGAAGGTAGAGAAGTGTTCAGGGACCAGAACAGGTGAGGAGGTTGTGTTGACAGAAGATCAGTGTAAGCAGTGAAGCTGCTGTCACACCAGGCCATGTGAGGAGTGTTAGTGATGAGTACAGTTACCCAAAACAGAGGTCTCTCAGCTCTGAAATGGATTAGATTCCAATTTTCCTGATAGTGCACGTGTTGAGAAGACTCAGCTGCCAGCCTGCAACTCAGGAACTCACCTGGCCATCAAGGTCATCCTTCAGAAGAGACATGTCCTCACCTTCTTTTGCATCCCATCTGTCAAGAAAAAGTAATCAGAATTTAGGCCTTGAAGATCTTATAAAGCCAGTGTCCCTTGCCTGACACGCAGTTGGGATTCCTTCAGGGCCGTGTATTCCTTGTCTGAGCCCTTGTTCAGTCCTATCCAAAGACATTCACTTGAGACCATTAAATCTTAATGAACTGGTTGTTGTAATTCTAATTGTAATGAACACATAAACTCCAATTGCAAGAACAGACAGCTGAGTCAGACTAAGAAGATGGAGTTTGCTTGTGCTGATGCCTGCCACAGTCTGGTCCTGCTTGCCTGATAGTGCCCAAGTGTCCCAGGTCTCAACAACAGCAGACATAGAGGCAGATACTGAAGGCTAAAATTACTTTGAAGTAGCTTGGAAGTCAGAGAGACTATTTACAAAGGCCTGCAGTGATGGGACAAGGGCCAATGGCTTCCCACTGACAGAGGGCAGTGTTAGGTGGGATATACTTCCATATGAGGATGGTGAGGCCCTGGCACAGGTTGCCTCTTCATAATTAGGCAGGGAGTGAGATGTGGACATGCACACCATGGCAGTGCTGCCAGCTCCTCACCTTCTGGCTCTGCCTGTCAGTCTGTCCTTCCCCTTGGCTCGGCTGCTCACAGCAGGCACTGCTTTCGGACCAGGGTCACTCACATTCACTCCATGATGTCCTCCACCTAGAAAACAGGTTGGAAATGCCATGCAAAAGCAGGCAGAAGCAGCTGATGGACCACTGAACAGGCCAACACCTTTGTATCCTTGGAAAGGACCTCTGAGGTGGGAAGCCTTTGAAGCTGTGTGCATACTGCACGTATATTTTCTAAAGTAATAAAGACAAATCAAGAATTTAGGGTGTTTCTTGTGTGTTTTTTTTTATTCCAAATTCCAATTCTAACTTTGAATCTTATTCCTTGGATACAGTCTTGTGCTGTTCTTTGAAGACCTCTCCTCTGCACTCAGCTATGAGAGTACCCATGTGGTGTGCTCAAAAAGACTCTCCAAATCTGCAAGTGTCTGGAGAGAACTCTCTCCCTGAGGGATATCAGAGGTGCTGGCATTTACTGGGGTGACATAACATAATCCTGTGATTTACTCACCTCTCCCGTCTGCAGGAAAGGACCTGTGCTGGAATTTCCTCGCATTCCTTCCCCCTGCAAGGACACAAGAAAGACGCACCAAAGTGAGTAAGGGTCTGTAATGGACAGGCAGCAAAAAACCTGATGTTCAAATAGGGTGTCATGAGGGAAAGCTTTGTTTTGCCAGTCCATCTACTGAGAAACAGGAGTCAGGATGGACTTATGCTAGTAAAGAAGCCAGCATGTGCCACAGGGATCAGAGATGATGTGCTCTGGAATAGGATTGCCTCTTAAACGAGTGTGCGGGAAAAGAGGCAGGGCTGAGCCTCCACACTGTGTTGTACCAGGTTACAGAAGCCACTGCTCTCCCTGGGAAGGTCCAAAGCTCTGGCACCCAACTGCTCAAATCCCATCCCCCGAGCCCTCTGCCCAGCAGGGAGGGCTGAGCCCCCAGCTCAAAGGCATTTGCCCAGGAAAGCAGAGCTTCACAGCTGACAGCCACGGCAGCTGCTGCGGCACTGGGATGCGCACGATCAGCGTTCACTAGCGCCAGCACAGAGTCTAGGTGTCCCTTGCCAACCTTTCTTATTGCTGGGATTATCCAAGGCTGGCTCCCCATCCTTAACAAAGTCCTCTTCAAACCTGCAGGTTAAAAACAGGCATTGTCAGACCTGACCATCCTCCCCCAGTGTGCAAAGCGTGGGCAGGAGCCCTTGGCACAACGCAAGCTCCAGCCTTTGGCCCTTCTGCACCTGCCCACAGGCAAACCTGTGCAGGTTTCTCAGCAGCAGCTGAAGCTGCACGTGCTAACTGAGGTTGTGAGGTAGTTCTACCTGAAAGAAGAACTTCTAAAACCTTTACATCACTACCCATATGTATATATTAAATTTTATGAGCATCCTATAGATGTAGTGTAGCTGTACTACACTCAGCTTCCAAACACAATCTGAAGTAGCTTCAGGACTTGTCATCTAAAATCAGAGCATTTGGTTGGCTTCTAGTCCTGCTTGTTTTATATTATGTCTTTTCTCTTAAAAATGGATTTTTGGAAAAACAGTAGGGCTCAGGACTGTCTTGACATCAACACTCAGCACCCGCTTAAGTCAATTCACCCCTAATTATTGGGGTCTCAGTGACTGAAAATTGATGTATTTGGTTCCAATCCTCAGCCAAAGGATTGTCCCACCTACCTGTCCTGTACAAACTGGTCTATCAGCAAACCTTTGTAACAGTACTTAACTCCACACCCTACCAGAAGCTTATCCTGATACAGGTGCCAAGTCATCCTTCAAAGCTCTCTAGTTGGTGTGACCCAGCTGAACCAGCACAGTCAGAGGGACAGTGATTAAGGCAGGGACGTGTCCAGCCCCATTCCCAGCTGTCCCACATCGCTGTTCTCAGCATTGTCCCTGTATGACACAGGTGCCTTTTGAAGTGACTCCTATGCCCTGCAGTGCCTGAACAGGCTCAGTTTATGGGGTGGGGAGAATTTAGGCAGTGGGCTAAATTCTTGGGCTCTCCTGTGCTTGAAAAGCACAAGCAAGTGAGGGCAGTGATAGAATCTGTGGACTAGCAATGCAAGTTCATCCATCTATGTTTCTGGAAGAGCACCTGTACCCTCCTGCCATTGGATTTGTTCATGTGGAAATGAAGAGGATCCTCCAGATGCAGACTGAGCCTTGGTTCATGCTCCCTTCCTTCCTACAGTCCATATCCTGGTTAGACCTAAGGCGGGCAATCTTTGTCAGCACATGGTATTCCCTCTCAGGAGAGCTCATATCAGGAAGAAAACATGAGAATCTCTCTGATAACAGATCCCACTTATGAGCATGGTCTGGGGAGGAAGAGGCAGCAGCGTGGATTTGATCAGGCACGTGGCATCATGGGATTGATAAGCATCTGCACAAGATCCCACCACTGGCTTTAGGCCTGCTGCAGGCAAAGCACCCTGGGACAGGAAAGGACCTACATGTGCTCTGACTTCTCCACATCCCAAGCCCGTCGCCACTCGCCCTTGGCATTCTTGTGCCGTGCCAGGCGCTCCAGGTCGATCTGGTCTCGCTCCCTCTTCCAGCGGATGTACTCCGAGCGCTCCCGACCAGACATGGGGAAACTCAGGTCTCCAGGGCTCTTCTGGACTGGCTTCCCACCATCCTGGTGGAGGGGAAAGAGCTTCTGGTTAATAAAGCTGTCTGAAACAGCTGCATTCAGGGTACTTTGTATGTCACCACCACAAATGCTCAGGAATATTTGAAAACAACTTGGGACAAGGTCAGCTCCTTTCTGTGAAATAATGTGTGCACAAAGGAGTCTGCTCTACCCAAAGCCTAAATACACTGTGGCTGTTTGGCTCTACAGAAGGGAAAACTGGGGAACCTTTCCTAAGGTTTACTTATGTTTACTTAGAGTCAGTTCCTGGAGTGCTTGCAATATCTCTCAACAGGGTTTGAATGATGAGTCCCCCAACCTGAAGACTTTGGGATACATAAATCAAAATTATGCCTCTGAAATCCTTCACAGTGAGAAGGCAGGGAAGGAAGCCAGCCTTCTGTGACCACCAGGCATCCATGGGAGTCCACAGTCACAGAGCTGGGGCCAACCCTGTGCCCAAGAGCAGCATTCCCAGAGCAAAGGGGCTCTTTACCTACACTACTGTCAGGCTCTTGGTTTATTGCTCCTCATGACAGACTGGTTAAGGGCTGACACTGCTCAAAAATTTAAAGCTTAATGGAAAGACAGTTCAGAGCTGATGGAGCATGTGGAGGGGAAGTAGCCCAGCTGTCAGGTTAATGGATGAGGTGGAAGCAGGAGCTGTGGTGTGTTGTCAAGCAACAGTGTGTAGGGAATAGCTTAGTGCAGAGCTGAGTCCTGAGGTGCTAATTACCAGCGGGTAATTCATCACCTCATACACGTGTCCTTCCACGCCAGCCACCCTCACACCTTCCCCAAAGAGGAATTAACTCCTCAGCCTTGCACTGCGGGTTAGAGAAGCAGCAGGAAGAAGGCACTGAAAGCCCTGTTACCAAGGTGACCCAGCAGCGTGGGCAGGAGCTGGGGTGGCACCAATTGCTCCTCCATTCCTCAGCTGGCAGGAGCTGGGGACCTGGCACCGTGTCCCCAAGGAGGGAGAGATGAAGTCCACAGAAATGCTAGGCACAGCAGGACAAGCACTGTCCCTTGGCTGGGGCACGGCCTGGGAATGCTCCCCACTGCTTCCAGCCCCATGGTAAGGCACAGTGGGTCCTGTCAGGATGGATCCTGATGCATCCATAAAGCCAAAAGCGAGGGAAGGACTGAGGCTGATGCCTGTGCTCTCTTGTGGGGAGAGGCAGAAATGGCTGGGGGCCCACAGAGCAGGTGGAGCAGGTCCCTCACCTCAATTACAGTGTAGCTGAGGTTAGCTGGACCACAGGCTATTGTGCTCCCCCTTCCTGTTCTGGGGGGCTCAGCTGGAATTAGTGTCTAAGAGCCCATCTGTGTCCTCCTAATGAATCACACTGAGGTGGGGTTATTCTATTTGTGCTCCATTAATTAAAGCATCTGCAGGCTCGAGGGAGCCAGCATGTCTCCAGGCTTTGCATTAAACAGTCAGTGGGAAGGCCTGTGCTTTAATTTACCTCCATCCTACTCAGCTCCTGCTGAAATGAGGATCTGTAGCTAATACAGCCTGAGCTTTTCAATGCACAAGGAAACGGTTTTGGGAGAGGAACCAGACGAAGCTGTGCTGCCACAGGGGTGAACATGTTACCCTTCCTAACATCCCTATGGCTGTGTGAAGGGCTTGAGCAGCCACGACAAGGCGTGGAGGCAGGTCCCTGTCACCTTTCCAGTGCTGCTTGCTCCAGGTGTATCAGCTGCTCAGCAAAGCTTTGGATGATGAGAGCAATGAACAGTGGGAGCCATGTCAGAGCACAATGCTGCTTCACATAATTACAGGATGGTTTGGGTATGAAGAGACCTCAAAGATCATCTTCCTTTAGGACTATGGTAGGGAGGCACATTCTACTGGTTTCCTCTTCCAAGACAAGGGTCACCACAAAGGGACCTGGGTCCTACTCACCTTCCGGCTGTGCTCAGTTTCTGGGCCTCTGTCACTGTCTGATCTCCTCTTCTCTGCTGTTCTCCGCTCTTCTCCCTCCAAGAGAACGGACACAGGAATTATTTCAAGGATTAAACAAGGATTCCTGGCAGGGGAATCAGGACCTGAACCTCTGCCGACCAGGACATGTAAGAACTTCTCAGAAAAGATCAGCAAAAGAGGAAGGATTGTTTCTGGGGTCCCAAATCAAACTGATGCCGAAAAAAAAGAAGTCAGAAAGCAAGGGGTGTATGAGAAAAGCATTCTCACAGCTCTCTCCTTCTCCCAGGCTGGAAGCAGAGTGGTGTCCTGCATGGTCCTGTTTCTTTCCAAGGCAGACCAAGTTTCAGGTACCTTTATAGATTTGGGCCATTTTAGGATTTCACTGTACAAGATCTGGGACCTATCTGAGGTGCAGCTACAACCCAGCATGGAGAAACCAGGAGTGATTTTACTCCCTGGCAAACATAGCATCCTTCTACCAGGGTCCATCCCTGCTCCCATGGTGTTTACCCATGCTGCCATGGTACCAGATTGGCAAGCTCTGCTCTGGTTTTGATATTACCCCGCCTGGAAGGAGGTGACAATCAGCATCTGTTTCTTAGTGAGCTATAGGCACCAAACATGGGCCAAGCCAGGGGTTCTCTGCCCCACATGGAATGAATAATAGACACAGAGCCATGTCAGAGGCCAGGGTGGGATTGCAGTGGGTCTGAACAAAATAGTCTGCAGAGCATAAAGATCCTTTAGGAAAGGCTTTTTGCCTGCTTGGACAGCTACAGGGCTGGGCCTGTGGGGGGCTGAGCTTGTCCTGCTGCCATTTTGCAGTGCCAAGCAGAACTGAAACACAAAGAGGAACGTGGCAGCACAAACTGCCAGCTCAGCCCTTCCAGAAAGCGGCAGCGTAGCAAGGTCCAGCCCAGGCTGGAAACAGGACTTCTATTCTATGCATTCACCAGACACAGCTTTAGTTTTACAGGGAAACTTGGGATATCAGTCTTGATACCTGCAGCTCTGCCCAATCTCCTAAGGCAACTCATGTTGCTGCAGCTTGTTCTCATGTACCGCATGGAATCACGCAGGGAATGAGCTGGGGACACATTTTTTGGAGGATTGCTCACACATGCTAAGTCTGAGGCAGGTGGGAAGTGAGGCAATACAGCTCATGGACTGTCATTGCACTTGGTGCATGACAGCTTCACTGGTCTGACTGGTAACTCCAGTACAGATGGACGTTTGCTCAAACAGATCCTTGGAAATAACAAGGTAAATGTTAGCTATACTGTCCTGGGATTTCTCAGCAAAGATTTGGGAAAAATGCAGAGGGGTGTGTGCTCTGAGAAGCTGCCCCTCACCATATCCTACCTGTTGCCAAAGAGGATATGGTGAAAAATAACACTGGGGATTTATGTTGCTGTGAAAACTTATACAACCAAAAAAATGCTCCCTCTGGACACAAAGTCACCTGCTCTGGCAGCCCTATTTGAAGAACCCTGTAGTGAGAGATTGAATGAGTCTCTGCAGTCCCAAACTCAGCATTTACAGAGAGATTAAACAGCAGAAATCTGGAAACTTTGCTCTCCCAGAGCCTTGCATCCCAGTGGTTGTCCCATTTGGAATGCTCGCTCATCAGTGCCCACCACAAACTGAAAAACATGGGTCACAGAGACACTGCACAAGCCTCCATCCTTTTACACCCTCACTGCAAGCCAGCTGCCTTTTGCCTTAGTCTGCTTCTATTTTTGCTTCTCAGAGGGCACTGTGGAAAATGGAGAAGACCACAAAAATGTAGTTCTTTTGTGTCAGGACAGCAGGTCTGAGCTGTGCAGAGAACAGTCAGCTTGGCTCTTGCACTGGCTCAGGAGCATAATTCCCCGTTGTCCTGCTGCCCCAGTACTGCTGTTCCTGTTACCACACACCCAGGCCAAGAGGGAGCAAAACATGTTTTTCTTTTCTTTCTTCTTCTCTGTCTCCAAAATTAAGAAAAATGACATGGACATTATCATTCCTAGTGTAACTGTTCCTGCAAAACAGGAGGACACAAAAGCTTGAAGCAGTCAAGGAAGATTATGATTGTTTATCCTGAGCTTTCTGCCAAGATTTCTCAGTTTCTCAGTCCAGAATGGCCCAGGGTGGGGCCCGGGGTGGGGCAGAGCCTGCTCCCAACCAGCCCTGGGATCCCAAATGCCTCCTGCCACTGGATCTTTCTGACTTTCTAGCACACGTGTTCCTAGCTAATGTCACTGTGCAGTGGTGGCAATACTGATGCCATTATCCAGCCAAGCACTGGCTTGTACCAGCAGTTCTCCAGAAGCTTTGACAGGCTTCCGCATCTCTGGACTAGTTCCATACCTTCTTTTTAAAAAAATAAGGACTATCAGATGAGTTAAACAAACCTTTTGGTACCCGCTTCTCCAGGCATGTTTCAGCACCACAACTGGCATTTCTTCTTGAAGAAATGAGGAGATTTTTGTAGGAGCTTAAAGCTGTTTTTCTAGTGTTCAGATTCCCCACTGGGCAGGATTTTTGAAACTAGTACATGAGAGGATTTTTTTTATAACTCTTTTGAAAAATCTTCTCCTTAATTGTGCTGCCTGAAGGGAACTAAAGACTTTTCAGCCACCCTCTCTGCCTATTTTTCCCTCCCATCTGCAATGTAAAAGCAAGTGTTTCTCCTGCCACAGGTTTGGTTACTCTCCCCTGCAAGCACCAAGTCCAACTCTTCTGTGTTAGTCACTAAAAGCAGCTTTGTGTATCTTGATTACAGTAATTTCTGATACACCATCCTGGGCAACTCTGTTAATAAAAGGACAATTTAAAAGCCCTGAAGCTCTATCAACTGCCCATTTAAAAGATGATTTGTAACCTGTTAATTAACCATTGTGCTCCACTGGTCCTGAGCTGCTGGCTCCCAGCTCTAATGTACTAATGAGCCTGAAACACTGCCAAAGCATGGAGTGGCTTTTTAGGGCTAAAACTGAAGGATTGTCTCCAGCCCTACATGCAGGAGAGTCCTGAGGCAGGTTTAGGGGAAGCCAGGCAGAGATGGGTCCTAGATGTGGCACTTCCAAGCCAGCAGCAGCACTGGAGGTCGTGAAGCTGCACCAGTAGAGCAATGGGCTCTGCAAGGAGACAGGATAATTTGGTCCCTTCAGCCCTGTGGGCTAACAGAGAGTGAAAGAGTCTTTCTACTTTATGGCACCGGGGCTGTCTCAGAAAAGGAGATCATGAATGAAAGCCTCTTTTTTCCCTTGCATTTCCTCTTTGGCAGCTCCTGCCCCAGCTGTGCTGCAGTCTGGGAGACAGCGTGGGGTTAGCCAGAAGCACCACGGGCAGCAAAAATGGGAGTCGTTTACTTCTTTGGGTTTTTGTTTTGTTTTGATTTGTTTTGTTTGTTAGGCTTTTTTTTCCTTTATTGAATTTTATCATGAATAAAAATAGAGAAAATGTGTGGTAACAAGGACACACATCAAATACTTTAATAGGATAAATTTGACAAGCGCACAGAGGAGGAAGCAAATTTAACAGCAGTCAGGCTACTGGAGAGGAAATGATGGATGTGATTTTTTCTCCTAGGCCTTTGTGGGAACCCCAAAAGAGCAGGGAACCAGTTGGGGCACGAGGTAAAAAGGCCCAAAGGATGAACCATGCTGGGGTTAATGAGAGACTGAAAGTTAATCCTTGAATCGGGGGTCCCAGCTCAGGTCCTAACACACAGCTACCCAGCCAACACCACTGACACCCCACCAGGCTCTCCAGCAGCTGATTGATTTAGGGATGAAAATGAAGTTTCTCTTTTAACAACTGATTAAAGGATAGAAAAGAAAAAGTGGCAAGAAAATGGTGGTTTCTATGGCAGAAGATTAGCAGGAGTGTGCCACTGGAACATGTGCTGCTCGACATGCTCATAAATGGTCTGGAAAAGGAGCTGAAGAGAGGGATGACAGTTTGCTGATGATATTAAATCATCCAGGGCAAAGAATGTAATTTGCCCGGAAAGAGCTGCGAAAGATCTCTTGACAGTGAATGCCTGCATCATAAAATTACAGCTGAAATTCAATATCAGTAATACAAAATAACTCACACAGAGAAAAATGTCCCTTCTTGTATACACACACAGAGTAATGAGTCCTGAGCTATGATTAACAGTCAGGAACGAAATGTTGGTGTTACTGTGACTAGTTCTCTGAAAATGTTAGCTCAATTATTTAGAAACAAAAAAAAAAAGCAAAGAAAATGCAAACTTGTTGGGAGAAGAATAGAGAACAAGCCAGAACATTGTTATGTCACTGAGTACATCCTGGAGAGCCCACAGCTGGAATACATGCAGTTCTGGTCTGCTTGTACTGAAAGAATATGGTAAAAATAACAAAAGCACAAATGGGGACAATGAGAATGATCAGAAATAAAGAACAGTCCTCAGTAGACAAATCGAAATAGGGACAATCTCTTAAGTTACATGAGATAGCTGAAGGGAGACGTGAAACAGGTCGATAAAATCATTTGTGCTTTGGGAAGTGACCAGGAAATGATCTATTCACTACTTCCCCTGATGCAGGAACATCAAATGGAGCTGTCAGGGAACAGCATTGAACCAGTCTCAGATTCTAGGCTTCGATGATTCTGTGGCTTTAGCCAGTGCAGCTTTAGCCTGCCTTCATACACACTCTGAATCCAGATGCTTTGAGGCCAGTATGAGAAAGGCATTGCCAAAACCACCTATATGGATGCTCAGCCTCAAATTTCATATTCCATAATGAAAGCAGATGAGAGCTGACCTTCGAGGGCAGTCCATACATTTAAAAGAGGGCACAGGATCTAAAGCCAACATCCAGGCACTCCTCCTGCTGCTCTCTCCTAGTACAGCCCTTGTGACCTCAGAGACAAATGTTTAAACAGCCCCAGCAGAGAGCAGAAGACACTTGCCTAGCACATTACAGAAGTACATTTGACAACCTCAAGGGCAGGAACAGCACAGTCAGGTCATTCCCATTACATCCAGGAGTGTTGGTGATGCCTAGATTGAAGAAGACTGTCTGTCATGGGGACTTCTGGGGTTACCAGTGGCTCAACAACGCAGCTCCTTTGAGGTTTATGGCATCCAAAACGCTGCTTGGCAGCCACAAGAAAGGAGCACCTGGGCTGTTGGAGCCTAGGTAAGCCCGGGGGAGGAGGAGAAGCTGAAGATGAGCGTGGGTAGTAGCAGCAAATGGTTGGCACTATCCCAGAGAGGGGCTACAGATGTCTCCCAGCATTCCTGGGTGCATTTGGTAGCTACTCCAAGTGTTGTTTTCCTACACAGCCTTTGCTGACCTTGTTTGCTGCAGGCATTCTTCCTTATCTGTGAAAACTCACAAAGAGGAAAATAACACATGCCTCTGTGTGTGTAAAGAGAAAGGTATTTGTAAAGAAGTATTTGAAGTATGTTTCAAAGATTAACAAAGCTCAGCCAGCTCACTCAGCAGGTGATGGCTGGGCACAGCAGATATTGCCCAGCTCTGTTAACGTTTAAGTCATGCAGTGAGTCAGGAGGACACTGCTCCTGTCCCAGTCTGCCGTGTAGCTCCAAAGAGGAGCTGGTAAGAGAGGAGGTGAGATTCGTGCCCCATATCTGACAGTGCTTTCATCAATCCTTCCAAAGCAGCATCTGTTTATGAACCCAGTGTGTTTAGGAGGCTTCTAGCTTTAGCTAGATCACAGGGGAGAGAAAAGATGGTGCCTTTCTTCTTTCACAGGGATGGAAGGCAGAGATACGGCTACAAGCTGCACTAACACACAGTGTCTCCCAGCATCCTGTGGCTGGGCCCTCCTCATGCCAGCAGAAGTGGATGCCATGGATAGGTTACAGGCCAGTCACTAGCACAGTACTTACCTTTTCCTTGTTATCCATGGTGATGGCAATCTGCATCCTCCTTCCCCGCCGGAAAGCCACCAAATGATCCATCTCCTCCTCGCTCAGGTCCGGCACTCGGCCCGGACCAGGGAAGCTCTCGGAGCGTTTCTCACTGACGATCCTCTTGCCCTGGAAGGCACAGGCTGAGGTAAGGACACCTCCATTAGCCCTCCTAGGAGAGTGGCCATCCCAAACTGCAAAGGATTTTGGGCTGGCAGAACAGAAAATGAGCTGAACAGTCAGTCCCCTTGGCTTAGAAAGTCGCCACCCCACCCTAAGGGATCTGTGATATTACAGAGGTGTGTTTAGCTGAGCACAACATCGGCATGGTGGGATTTACCCTGCTCAGATAATCTGCAGCATGAACACTGAGGGATGGTTTTATTTTAAGCTTGTGTCTGTGTCTTTGAAACAAATGTGAGGTTGTCCTCTCCCCACACAACACATCCCAATAAAATGTGAGGCTATCTTCAGCATAAGCCTAGAAGATGGAAGAGAAGGGGAACAGTTTGGTTGTCTCTCTCCAGCCTAGTCCATATAGCAGTTAATCCCCTGAAATGTATGAGCACTTGATAATTTATCATTTCATATTCAGTGTGTTCATATTTCTGGAATTATTTATTCAGAAGTGGAATACTTAAGAAAACTGATATATAAACCCCTTGAGCAAGGGCAGTTTACCCCTCTCAGATATTATCTACAGCCATCTGTATCAGTGTCATGACTTCACTACATGGATTTACATCTGGCTCTTATTTTGTTAATGATCTTTGTTGCTGGCTGATGTCCTGCCAGTGCCCTCAGCCATCAATTCCACAAAATAAGCACATCCTTTGTACAAAAAGACATACTTTTTCTCATTTAAAAGTATCATCTTTCAGGTCAGTCATGTGCCTTTTTATTTTTGCCTTACAAGGAAATGAGAGACTTAAGTAATCTCCATTGTTATCTCTGATCTTTTTATTTTCTCTTCATCCCTATGAAGTCTGTTCAACTTCACCAGAGATGAAGGAAGCTCAGCAGCTTCCCTCTCTAAAGGATAGTGCATTTTACTCTGTTTTCCACCTTGGGCTTTCGCATTTACTGGAGTCTTGATTTAAAAGATACTCAAAATCTCCAAGGAAACTTCAGGGAAACTTGGGAACTCTTTGTTGCTACGAAATTGTTTTTAAAAACAAAAAGCACACCCAGACCTCTGATTTGTAGGGAAGACTTGCAATCAGGGCCTTTGTCAGGACATGTGATACCAAGAATTCTCACATTAACCTCATTTTCCCTTGGCTCTGCCACGAGTGTAGATGTTAGCGTGGAGGGAGCCTTGCTGTGCACAGCCTCCGTCAGCATGACCTTTTCTATGGCTTCTCAGTCATCGAGCTTCCTAGCACATGATAAATGTTTTAGGAGACACTGGAGTATTTCCAGCAGCAGAACCTCAGTCTCTTGTTTATTCATCTTTTACATCTGTGTGATTTTGCTGTTTCAGCAGATAGTCCTTGAGTCAGCCTGATGCAGGGGAGAGGAGTGGTCCCTGCTCTGCCTGTCCTGTCAGCCCCAGATGAACAGACACAGTGAGAACCTTGTTACATATTCCCTTGGGGATTTCTAGCTCTGCTTTTGGGCTCAGTAATTCTAGGCCGTACAGTTGAGGTTAGAGCCTGAACTGGAGACTGGCCTGACTCTGCCCTACCCAGAGCACTGATATGAAGTGTCTGGGATTCTACTTAACATAATTTTTTATTAAGAAAGTAAGCCCAGAGATGGTTTAGAAGGTAACATCAAGCTATTAATCCACAAGTTGTACATCAAGCATTTATTCATCTTAAGCCAACAGCTGTTCCCTAGAGCTCTTCAGTGTTTAGGTGTTGATGGCTCATCTTTTAGACACATAATAGGGTCACAGATACCTCTTGCCTGGGAGGTCTGGCACTGGGAGGATATTTGAAGGTGACTTCATCACTTGCTGTCTGAGAAAGTCCCCCATGAGACCCAACACAAAGAAGCTTGTGCCCAAACACCTCGAGCACAACAGAAGCCTCAAAGAGCATCACTGGATTACAGGGAGGTGACACCATCCCTGGGCCACTGGATGCTAAAAGACACAGTGTGAAGGCTGATGTGTGGGCAAAACCTTTAAACCCTGCATTTATTAAGCAGATGGCAAGGAAAACTCAGAGGAAATACAGGAAACAGCTATTTAACAGAGCTGTGGTAGCTAGACACATCCAGGCTGAGAAACCACCAGATTTTCTGTGTAATACCCTTTGTCCTCTCTACCGCTCCTCTCCTTTCTTCCCTCCCTCCTTCTCCATTTTGCTTCTGGCTAAGCTGCCTCGCCTGAAGGCACATTCTGCTCAATGTGTCTGCTGACATGTGTCTTCTTTCCTTGTTTCCTATTTTAACAGTCTGGGTGATCTCCCAGCCTGCTTCTCCCACATTGGGAAATCCTGGTCCTTGGTGCCCTAGCTCCCAGAGTGAGAGATGTCATATGAGGAGAGCATCCATGCAGAGCCAGCAGGGACAGAGAGCAGGGTCACAGGCACAGTGCCTGGAAAAGCCAACTCCTCCCCTCCACTGGGCTTGTCCTGGGTCATTCCCAGGACTCTGGGACTCTGGCACCAGCTTTTTAGCTTAGTCAGAACTACACCACTCCCTTACAGAGACACTGTAAGGTGAGATCTGCCCATCTCATGTCTGAGGCATGCCCTAGATTGCAGAGGCAGTGTTAAAAATACTCATCCGAGGTGTGCCAGGAAAAAGAACAGGGGAACAAAGGAAACCCCTGATCTGTCCAGTTTGTGCAACTTTCCAGCTGGCTTTCCTCTGGGGCATCTTGCTTGACTGTGATTTAGCTTATTGAGGATTGGATGTCAGTGGTTTTCTGCACAGAGGAGGAGCTCTGGTGCTCGGACCTTGCAGTGGTAACAGGAAGGATGGTGGTGCCTCATTCAGTCACACCAGTGTCACCAAGCAAGTCCCTCTTTCCAGGCACAGCAACACAGTTTAACACCAGAGTGGCCCAGGAGGGCAATAAGATGACTGATCCCTCAGAAAGGGAACTGGCTACACATGGGTGAGTGGAGAGTGTTGCTGGGGGGTTAGCAAGGCCAGAGGGCTGATTCCTGGGAATCAGATATAGAGAGGGAAGCATGTGGTAGCTCTGAGGTTGTGCTGAAGAACTGTGAAATGAGAGGAAACAAACAGTAAGGGAACTATTCCCCTTAGATATGGCACACTGGACAGAAAGCTCAAGTGAGAGGCAGAACAGAAGCCCCTTTGTAAATGAAGAGTCTGCAGTGTAAGAGCAATCCTCTTCCCTACCCACCTTTGCTTTGTTGTCCATGGTAACAGCCAGCTGCATCCTCTTCCCCATCCTGAATGTGAACATATGATCCGCTTCCTCCTCCTCCTCCTCTTCCTCACTGCCAATGCCGAACCCAGGGCTTGTAGGACAGGGGCTTCCCCATTTCTCACTCACGACCCTTTTGTCCTGGAAAAGGAACCATTTCCATTAGCAAATCCAGGCCCCTGACTCAGGGATGTGATTCCCTTCCCCAAACACACTTGCACACAAGCAGGGAGGCAGCTACAGAACAGACAGCCCTTGCCCCCAGGAAGTTCTCCATGCCCGGCACACTGCCGTGACATTCCTGGGGAACAAGGGGCTTCTTGTCTGCTCAGCAGCAAAACTCACAAAGACAGCAGGGCTGAAAAATCCTTTGCACTTACAAATCTGACATTTCAGACTAAAATGCCAGAGTTATGGGAAAGAAATGTCATCCTCATCTCTTTCTGCAGCACACTGAGTTAGCTTGGGAAAGCCTAAGTCCTGCTGGAGGTGGCCTTGGAAGCCAAGTGGATGGCTGAGGGTGGTGCTCACCATCGAGAGGGCTGGGCTATCTTGTCCATAGTGTTCAGTCTGGGTAATTGCATCTTTCAGGTCCTGTATGAGAGAAAAATGTGTGCAGCAGCGCACCCTGAGAGAGGCGAGGGCCGTGGCCAGGGTGGGAACAACGCACTGGCCTGGATCCAACAACCTGGAGTGCTGAAAGCTGGGGGGGCTGGCTCAGCAGGCTCTGCATGAGCTCTGGCAGAGGAGTTCAACAAGGGGTTAAGGCAGGACTGGCTTCCCAAGCCCCACACTGCCAGGATGGGTGGACAGAGCTTATCAGATTTGGTCCAGTTAGGAAGGAAACCTGGGACTCACAGCCTCTGGCCCAGGGCCACTTGCTTTGCTCACTCCCAAAGCCCAAGGAGTTTAGACAAACCATAAGTTTTCCCAGCCTATGGCATTCTCAGAGGCACTCTTGATGCCTCCAGTGACACACACACACACACCTAATACCCTCTGCCTACATATTTGCAGTGATGCTAACACTTGGGACCAAGGCCGAGTGTGCCTGTTTGCACACCCAGTCATCTGCCAGTTAGCTCCTTGTGTGTGGGTAGAGGTGCCTGGGCATGGCTGGAAACCTATGTGCAGCACTTAAAATCACTCTGATCACACACCTCTGCAGAATTTACCCATGCTTTTCAGGGCTTAGGATCTATTTCCTGTGCTTGAAAGAACTTTGTTGTGGATGGTCTCTCTCAGAAATGCCACTTTGCAGCAGCAGGACTGGAGTGAGAGCTGTTCCGTGGTGAAGGAGAGGCATCACTTACATTGTGAGCTTTGGTGATGGTAATAGTGAGTCCATCCTGCTTGGGCCTCCTGGAGGTAACAGCCATTCCCTCCTGTTCCGCTCGCTTTTTGTCCTCTTCTATTTCCTGAAACACAGATATCCCCCTTACCACAAGCCTGTATCTGGATGCTGTTCATTTTCCTGTTTAGTTCTGCTAAACAGACCCACCTCTACCTCCAAGAGGGACCAACTTGTGTCCCAGTTATGGGATGCAGACAGGGGAAGGTGGAGTGGGTGAGGAGTGCTGTAGTAGTGAGGCAAGTTCTCCAAAGAAACTCAAGAATTGTAGTTAAAGGCTAAGCTAAAGGCAGAGTTCTGCCCACCTGCTCTGAGTGTTTCCAATGTAAACATGGTATCTATATAATATAGTCATTCTGACTGTGCTGACAATCTTCCTTAGACTGTGAGCTGAGGACTGCAAACCAGAGATGGGGAAGGTAAGGACCTGCAGACTCACCTGGTACCTTCGTATCAGCGCTTCGTTCTTTTTCCGCAAAGCCAAGATTTTCTTATCAAGTTCAACATCTTTCTGCTCTTTCTTCCTTAACACGGCATCATCCACAGCAGCATCCTGGAAACATAATGAGCAAAGCTCTTCTCATTCATCATACCAGGATGAAACCTGTTCCTTCTGTCTGAACAGGGTGGGAAGTGAAAGAGTCTTTCCTCACCACTTCTCCCTGACTTTTTCCTGACAGAATTGACCTTTCCTTCTCTTACAATTTTTGTTCAGCAATAAGGTAGTTTGAGCAAAGCACTGCTGCCCCACTTCGATGGTTGTCAGTGGGCTACAGAGTTAACACCCTGCTAATCTGTATGCAGTGCAGGACCCTCACCTTTGCATGTTTTTGGGCATGGAGGAGGTGTGCTGGGTGTCACACATCAGTGAGGGAAAGGCAGCAGAACCTGCTCATGGTGCAGACCGCAGCTCCTGCACCAGCCTATCTCCACTGGCATCCCCAGGGAGGGATATCTGATCTAACAGCCCCTGCCAAGGGCTGCTCCACCAGGACACGAGGACACAGGCACACATCTGTGTCCAGGTGGGACAACAGGAACATTTAAACCGCCTCCACACATTCTTCTGCTGGACAATGGGATTTTGTCAAGATCTGTGGGAAAACAAATGGCTTTTCCACGGCCATCCATCATCAGGTATACGACAGGTGAGCAGATTGCCTTTGTGGGTGGATACAGTTCCATGGGCATTTTGCAAGGCTGATTAAAGCCAAATTCGGTGTTTACCTGGACAGAAGCTGTTCTGGGAGCACTAAATTGGCAGGTTTGCTGTTTACCGAGCTCTGGGGTGTTGGCTGCTGAGGGTGGGATCAAAGTGGTGCATGCCCTCAAACACACCCTTTTCATCTTTAGATTCTTTTGACGGAGAACTGGCAGAGCTGCCGGCTTGAGAAAAATTTAAAAATTCCTGCAGAGGTTGTATTAGTGCTCTTCTCTTTTCAAAGCAAAAAAAAAAATGGAAAAGGCCTGTCAGGCTGTTCTCCCTCTGCTCATTTGTCAGCATTTTGTCTACGCTGCAAGACGGCTGGTGCCGGGGGGAGGGGGTCCTTCCACTTCCAGCTGGAAAGAAGTCACTGAAAGGAAAGTTTGCTGGTGTTCAGCACTTCTCCTCCCCTTTATTAACGAAGCCATTAAGGTGTTTCTCTCTGAGCAACCTGTTTCAGCAAATGCTGGGAGCTGTGGGCGAGAGGTGGTCATTCTCCCGCACACCCAGGCCCTGCGGCCAAAGCGCTGGGCAGCGTGTGGAGCCCACGCTCAGCTCCCAGGGGCTCACCCATTGTACACTTCAGCCCAGTCAGCGTTTGCTCGTCAGCTGCCTCCCCGAGCCAGCCGATAACAGGGGGCCGTGCCCTCTCCTCCCTTTCTGGAACGAACCCGCTGCCCCAGCCCGTGCTGAAGCTGATGCTCAGGATGGAAAGTGGCTCCACCGTGCCCTCCCCAGAGTAAAGCTCTTCCGGGGACCCAAGGTGCCCGTATGTCACCGCGACAGAGAGTTATAAATGGCTTTGGCAGAACAAACGTGCGATGGCTTTGAATCAGCAATCAGCCGAACCCAAAAAGCAGGACATTGCCACGGAATGAGAGGCCTCATTCTATTGCAAATTAAAATGTCACAAAAGGAGAAAATGGAAAGCTATCGGCTTCAGGCTTCAGTTAAATGACGACATCTCGATGTGTCACAGCCCTCCTCCTAAGTGGCACACACACTGGCTACGCAGCTCCTTGGGGTCTCGAGGGACACCTCGCTCCTGACTGTCTCTGCGTGCAGTGTTTTCTCACACACTTCTATGATCGCCTGCTTCTGCAGCGAGACCTCAGAGACAGCAGGGTTGGCAAAGTGTGAAAGGCGGGAGGTGGGGGGAGGGAAAGGGGACAGCAGCGGCCCGTACTAACGCTCTTCTGCGTAAGCAAATGTATCCGCTCTTTTTAAGAAATATCCTCTTCCTTGACAGCTGCAGCTGAAGCCCTCACCAGCATAGGCACCATCCAGCACTGCCTGCGTTTCTGTTTGTTATCTGCCTCCCGGGAGGCACCTTGTCCTGAGCCAGCCACCGCAACCTACCCCGGGGAGGGATGTAAACCTCGGCACCCAAAATGCTCCCCCCCAGCAGCCCTCCCCGCGGTGCGGTACGCTCGTTTGCTCCCCGTGCCTGCTGGCAGCCAGGCGAGGCAAGAAAACAAAGCGACAGCCACCGAAAGGCCACCCTGAAAGAAGCGAGTGCAAGTCCTTGCGTGGCCTTTTGGGGTGAGGGACCCCAGCGCCCCCGCCCCTCCCGGGCCCCGCGCAGGCAGCACTCACAGCTCGGTGCATGTTGGACATCGGCGGCGGAGCCCGGCGGATTCCAGAGCAGAGCTAAAAGAGGAGAGCCATCAGACGGCCTTTCTCAGCACTGGTTGCACAGCATACAAGATCATGTTTTGATTACAAAAGCCTCGTCTGGGCTCCCAGCCAAGAGCACTGGCTGCCTAATATACCAAGCACAGACAGGGTTTGGAGTGCCTGTGTCCTCCTCTCCAATCTCACTCTCTTTTTAAAAGAAACACTCCCCCTTTTCCCCCCTCCTGACTCCTTTTAACTTCCTGATGCCACAAACCCTCGTTCAAAGTGGGAAAAGCCGGCTGAACAATGACGGATGGATCAGGCAAACAGCTTGGCTTCGCTGCGTGGCCATTCACAGGGTCGTGTTGTTTATTATGCATGGCTGGCTCCACGCCTGGCGGGGCCGGGAAATATCTGGGGTCCTGGATGTCTTGTGAGTGTGAGTGTGTGCACGAGCCTGCATGGGAAAACATGGGTCAGATTTGCCTTTTTCTGTTTAATTTCAGTGTTCTCAGGGAATTATTTCCCCACTGTTAAAGTGGGCCTTTCTTTCAGGAAGGAACAGAAGAGTGCTGTGGGGTGGGCATCACCAGCTGGCAGCAGGACTAGCAGGAAGCACACAGCTGAAGCAGAGGGACTCCTGTAAGTCCCTGTCTGAAAGCTGCCAAAACAACTCACAGAAGAGTCACAAGTAGCAGTGGGGCTTTGAGGGAACAGCATTCAGCTGCTGCATCTTGGGTCACCACATGAACTCTTACCTCACCATAGAATATCCTGAGTTGGTAGGGACCCATAGGATCATCCAGCCCAACTCCTGGCTCTGCCCAGACACCATAACAATTCTACCCTGTGCCTGAGAGCATTGTTCAAACCCTTCTTGAGCTCTGGCAGCTTTGGGACCATGACCATTCCCTGAGGAGCCTGCTCAGTGCCTGATCACCCTCTGGGGGAAAGAACCTTTCCTTGATATCCAGTCTAACCCTCCCATGGCACAGCTCCAGCTGTTCCCTCGGCTTCTGTTCCTGGTCACAGAGATCAGAGATCGGAGCTGCACCCCTGCTGCCCCTTGTGAGGAAGCTGCAGACCCCGATGAGTCTCCTCCAGGCTGAACAAACCTCAGCCATCCTGGCCATGTGCTACATTCTCCCTCAGCACAGACTGGCTGCCCTCTCCCTCTATCCCGAGGGACATAGATTGAGCATAAGGCAAACAGGAGATGGAAGGACACCAGGGAATATTTTGTTGTCCAAGGACCGATGGACAGCCCAACCCTAATGTGGGCCCTGCTATGTTCATGTTAAGAAAATCAAGCTGGTCCACTGCTGCCCACTGTCCACTCTAAGACCTTTGAGCAGGTCAACTCTTCATAAAATCTGAGAAGTCAGACCTGAAACCTGGAGTGGTTTAAAGGAAACCTGCCAAAGACTTTGCAGAACTCAGAATCTGGTCCCTTCTCTGCGGATGACTTGGGCTGTTGGACATCATGGCTAAGGCACTAAGGAGCTGGAAGCACAGCTTAGTAAAAGCTCTTGGAGGGACAGAATGACCTATATTAATTAATAGCTGCTCAATGATGAAAGGAAATTGAAACCATTTCGAAGGCAGTGCTTCTGGATTCAGGCTTCATGAAGGAAATGAAAACTCAGCTGTGGAGCAGAAAATTGGGAAAAAGACACAAGAGCTTTGCTAGAGCCCAAGCACTTGTCAAGAGGTTTGTGGTGGACACAGCTGTGCAGGAGATGCAGTCATGTGGAGCTCTACCTTGGCCTGGGAATGCAGGGGAACGGTGGGAAGGCACTGCCTTGGTTTTCCAAGCTGGCACACGCTCTTATGAGGGTGGGGTGATATCCCACTTTCGACTGGGCTGGTGGCCACAGGGACAAGGTCACCCAGGGACTGGGTTGAGTCAGGGAGTCAGTGTTCATGGAAATAACTTTGTCTAGCACTGGTGCATTAACCTGATTGTGTGATGGTCATGTCTCTGGCCTCAAGGAGACTGCAAATTATGTTGATGCCAAGGTTCAGGTTAAAACAGAAACCATTACCCCAAATTCCAAGGCCAGATTCTGTGTGCAGTGCAGGGTGAACACCACGTGCAGCTGGGTCCATTGTGCTGCCTATGTCATGCTGAAAATTATCAAGGCTTAAGCCAAATGCTTGCAAGGAGTTTCTCCAGACTTCTCCAGACCTCACAGCCATGGCATCTTATGTCCCTGCCATTCCTGGCAGTCTGGCCAAGCTCTTCCAGCAATGAGCAGTGCCATGAACAGGGGTGGAGATCCCTAAAATACCTTTGCCTTTGCTGATGTCGCTAGAGAGTTACATTTCCCTCCAGGGCAATGTCGGCTGCTCCTGACCTCAATACAAAGAGCTGCCATGTCTCAGCTGTCCTTTACCATGTCTGAGTGGCACAAATGACAAGCACCTACTTCTGCATCATCATCTGAGATCAATGGGAATTTTCAGTGAACACTGCAGACACAGAAACCCAGGGGCAAAAGGGACCAGCCAAGGGAGCAGCATCTGCAGCAGAAGGGCAAAACAGGCTGGTTTGGGGACCTGCTTGTGCCCTTGGGACAGTCAGAGAAGAAAACAGAACCCTATAAATTTGCCAAAATTTATGGGGTTATGAATATGCACATACATTTAATTATTCCCAGCACTGTGTCCAGGAAGGGCTGCAGTAAAACCACAGGTGTCCTCAGTAAAAAACTGTCAAAACCCCTGATTTTCTCTAAAGTGTAGTGTCAATCCCAAAACTGGCACTGCCTTCCTATAAGGTCTGTGCCTACATCAAGCTATGGGCAATTCTTCTGGACCATCATCCAGGCACCAGGGATTCCAATACCTAAAGGTTTGCTTTTGGGAAAGAGAGGAGCCAGAGAAGGTTCCTGCTCTCGTAAGTGACGTGTGCTGGATGCATGACATTTTTGGGAGTCCTGCAGGACTTCAGAACACACTGAATCCTGTTCACACCAACACCCCACCTGGGTGGCTGCAGAATATCAATCCTGCTCTCTCCAGCCATTGGTGGCAGCGCTTCCCACATGCAGTATTGACAGAGTACTTCAGACAGTGAGTGTATTCTGCATCCATGTGCAACAGGAAGGACATCTGGAGAGCCAGCCTCATTACTCACTCAGCAATTTGTACACCACACCTAGAGTTACTCTCTTTATTCTTCATAATCTCAGAAAACCTTTCATAGGTGGATTGGTCTAATTCTGGGCTCTTTTGTGCTCTGGCTGGTGCCATCTCTGAAAGTGCTCAGCACAGTGGGCACATGGAGTGTACCCAGGTTGGCTCTGTGGTTTCTGTTTTATGGATCTGTCAGCTCTTGCTAACCTCGGGCTGCCTCTGAAGGAGCAGTCCCTGGGCTGGACAGCAGCTTCCTTCAGGAAGGCCTCGAAGTTGGAGGAATCAAGAGGATATAAAGGGGGTTTTGCTGCATTGCCCTGCTCTGGCTGCACTGCATAGTGGTTCAGCTGACTGTCCTTAGGCACAGCCTCCAGCTGCCTACTTGGGAGTCCTTGCTCTCCACTCAGGGCAAAGTTTGCTGGAAATTTTTCTGGGGTCAAGGAAGGAAAGCAGGGCAATGACCTCTCCATTTTGTGCTTGTGACAGTGAAATAGTCCCTTTCTCTAATTGTGTGCTGTGAGACCTTTCAGTTTTGGCACAAAGAATCATCCCTGACAGGAGCCTGCCATCTCCCTGCTCCAGAACAGCCGTCAGCAGCTTGCACAAAGTTTTGCCCCATATTTTATTGGTAAGACTCTGTCTCTCTGCCTTACACAAAGACTGAAGGATAGAACCTGATTCTTAAAAAAATGCAAAACTTGCCTGCCCCGAGAAGCATTCTTGGCATCCCTTCATCCGCCCTTCCACCAGCAGGCACTGCCTTGGCTTGAAACCCTCGCTCCTTTTCCTTTTGCACTCTGCGAAACTCCTCCAGAGCCGCTCAGTCCCAAGCTGCCACTTTTCCCAAGTGCACTTCACCCAGCCTTATCCTGGCTCCTCTCCATTTTTTGCATGACCGCAATCGAGTCAACAGATGGCACTCGGGAACTGCTGGGAGGATCTGGGAGGCAGCTGCCAAAAGCCCACTGAAGGAGCTGAAGTCTGGCTGCTGTGAGAGGCTGTTTTTACGTTATGTGTCAGGACTGCAGATAAGGCACAGGGCCGAGTCTCAAGGCACGGCTGTGTGCAGTGATGTGCTGCCCGAGGCTCCTGAGCTGAACTAGCAATCTCCAGGCCTTGGATAGAGGGAGGGACGGGAACACAGTGTGTCAAAGAAGAGCTCCCAGAGGCCTGGAGGCGTACTTCTGACCAAACACACAGCAAACTTCTCCACAATAAGGCAATTCCTCTTGTCTCCCTTGCCTCCCACAGCTCTGGTCCTTCAAGCAGCTGCACTGCAGGATTAAAAAGGGGTTGAGGTGTTTCCTCCAGCCAGGAGAAAGGTCAGCATACTCCCTAGACTGGGAGGAGGGACCAGGCAGGAACCTTAAACAGGCTTTAGCTGGAGAGACCGGTGGGGATCAAAAGGCTGCTGAGACAGCATTTGTTTTGAAATGGACCAATACACAATTAAAATTAAAACTGCCAAAGACAGGTAAAGAATGTAATGGCAGCTTAGTCCTGCTTAAAAGCAGTAAGGATCACAGCTGCCTTTTGTTATTTCCCACAGGGATACCAATCACGGCACAGCAGAGAAAAATCTCAGGATGTGCAGAGCAGCCCTTTTCTTGTTTGGAACAAGACATCCCCTCTTTTCCCCTTCCCTGTGCATCATCCCAGCCTGCAAGGTCCTGCCTCAAGTCCTGTGGGTGATTTCTGTGCATACCCATATTTCATGCCATCTTGAAAAACCCATTATCTTCTCAGCTCTCTCAGTATTTTCTGCTCCTGACATCTTGTCATTCCAGAGTAAGACCTCTGAAGTTGTCACAGGCTGAGCAAATGAAAAAGGAATCTGTCCACTTAGTTTTTCCCACTTGCAGACACTCAGCAGGGACAGATACAGGTTTGCTGACCTTGTTCACTACCCAGCCTTCAGATGTAGGACACAGGACCCAGCCTTGGAAGGGTGTGAGGCTGTGGAAAGTGGCCGGGACAGCCAGTCAGGCAGGTTTTTTCATCTTTTATGGAAATGTAGTCCCTGGGGAAAGCATGGAATGCTGCAGA